CGCTTCTTAGGTGAGATATGACAAACTAAACTCCTTTTTATTAAATTTTTAGAGTAAGCTTGCTGAATTATAGCAAGAAAGTTCAACATTCCATTTTTTTGGTCACACCTAATTGTTTCCATATTTAAGCATCTTTGATTGAGAAGTTGGTGTATATATGACCCCTTCTAATCCACACGAAGCATGCACCAGAAGTTTTGTTATGTGGTTCAAAGATAGGGTAAACAATATTTTTCAACGTGTCATTGTTTCAAATATTATTATATACTTATACATATATAGTCATATACAATATATTAACTAATTGAGTTTTTAACAAAAATATTATAAATTTGACTAATAATACGTACATATAAATTTGGTAGGTGTTAAATGACTATCATGAAGGGAATGGGGTTTTGCAATACCTTGCACTGGGCCCACATGGATAGTGAATATATACAGAGGTTATTATGTCAATGGTTTTAGATTTATGACATAAAAAGCCAGTAGTGAAAGATAAACATATAACTGTGACGTATATGTGAAAGGAACAACCATATCTAATGATGCTGAGACTAATTATTATGACATCCTTAACGAAATCATCGAACTATTGTATTATAGACCACATGTGCAAATGCAGACAATTGTTTTATTCAATTGTGATTGGTTCGATACACGTAGGGGAACACGCATTAACCAAGTTTACAACATTGTTGAGGTCAACCCACAATATCAACTGTCGACCGACGAGCCATTTTGCTTTGTGTGTCAAGCAACGCAAGTGTATTACAGTAGTTACCCATCAGATAATCGAGCAACTCATGGATGGTTTGCCGCATGCAAAATACGTGCTAGACATTTGATTGACACTTCTTCAACCTCACTTGATATGGAAGAAATATTCCAAGATGAGGAGCCACCATCCACACAATCGAATAAGCATAGTTCCAATTTGGCATCTATAGAATGCCTGGATCTGCATGCAGAAGTTGCAACAATGGTTGACTTAAATGGAGATGCAAATGATGATGTTGATGAATATGCAAGTGAAGGAAATGAAGGATATGAAACAAGAGGTGATGTTGGTGGCGATAGTAGTGAGATTGAATAGTTGTTAAATAATTGAAGTTCATGTACAATAATAGTTTTAAAATTTGGTTGTCATTAAAAAAAATAAATCTTGTGTATAAGACTTCGTAATTACTTATGAATGACTAGTGACTTTTTCTTCAATTTTTGTTTCACTGCCATTATTTATGATGTTATAAATGTTTATAAAAAGAAAATTTATAAACTGCACATATATTTATTTGGTGACATTAGTGTTGACCTATTTTATGTGACCATATGTTTTGCAGGATGTTAGGTGGGCCCATCAACTCAGCGCGTAGTCGCAGCACATCAGGGAGACGAGAACCTCACAAAGCTGTAGATCTTGCATGTGACGTTACCCCAGTATTGGACGCGGGGCAGACTCGGTGTATTAGTCTGTAGGGTTCTATTCATGCAGCAGCCTCATCCCATAATGAGAAGCAAAAGGAAAGAGGTCCGAACAAACCAAAAAGGGCTGCAAGAAGACTAGATGATATACCATTTATACAAATTTCGTATAAAGGCACCTTCTTGGATGTTGAAGTCCCCAGATTGATTACGACCCTATGGAAGTGTGTTTATGATGGTGATTACTTCACCTATGACTTGTTCCCAGAACAGAAAATGTTGTAAGTGTGGGAGTTGTTTAAGGTAAGAGTAATTATCATTTCATACATAATCCTTCCATCAAATATGTATCGTATGATTAATGATAACGTAACAACATATATAATGAAGTATAAGTCACTATTGTTGGTGTATTGGTCGATACAGGTAATTTAATGGTATGAGTATTGCATACACTTTAACAACAAAAAACAAAAAAAAAAATTGGGCTCTCTTCTAGGTAACTGCCTAGTGAGAGAAACCTGCTTCTAGTGAGAGAAACCTGCAAAACCTAGTTTCAGTGTCAATTTTCATGGCACTTTCTTCTCTTTCTTCTCCATCTATTCCATCCTGTCCATCATCTTTAGTTTCTTCTTCCTCTTTGGAGATTGCTTCTTTGTCTCGTGATAAGATTCAGGCTGAGATTCTTGCTATTACGGGTGCTGCTTCCTTGGCCCAAGTTAATAGCTCTTATCCGGCCATTCCAGTCCGCGTAGTGTCCCCTGGTTCTCCACCACCAATGCTAGTCTCAGAGAGTCGACCCATCTCATGGGCTGCTGTCACCCAGGGTTCTTCGAAACCCCTCACCTTTCACCCCCCTGTTCTTGAAGATGGAAAATTGAAGGTGAAATTACCTCGCACGGTACGAGATGAACGTGTCAAATTGTGGGAAGATTGCTTAATTGGCACTTTCATAGGTGAGCCCCTCAACTATGGACGCATCTTAAGTATGGCAAAGAGAGTTTGGGGGAGAAAATGTATTATTTCAGTAACTGGCTTAGGGGACAATTCTTTCTTATTCAAGATTCCA